GGCAGACAGGATACTGGGCTGGATGTACCTTTGGTCTGACCCAATATGGTTGTTCTTATGTTCTTATATGCAATTTTTGTGCTTACTCTTTGCAAGTTCTATAATTTATTTGCACAGATTTTAGTGCATTGAGAATTACACATAAAGAATTAGCTTTTGAATTAGAAAAACTAGTAGTTTACAAAAAATCATAGTAGAATTTGGAAGAGTATCAATGTTCCCTTTTGGCTTTTCTTGTACATTTAACAGGAAGGTAGGTTTATTGCTCTGTCCAGGTAAATGAAAAACAGAGACTGATGGAATCCTAAAATCATTATGTACCTACAATAGAACAAGCAATTTTACAGTATACCTGTGGTATGTTTTCATTTAACGTTGAAAATGTTTCTGGTATCCTATATACACCTTTAGGTTTTCAGTTCATTTCTAAACGATTAGTTTGATAAACTAAGGTGCATAGAAACTATTTATAGATCCTTTTTGCTGAACAATTCTGCCTTTGAAAAACTAGTGGAATCAAATGTGATGGAATGCAGATACAAACACAGAGAACTGAAACTGTTGTGAACAATTCCAAGTCTTGTATATGAGGAACACAAATGACAGCATTAGCTTTACATCATTAAATTGAAGTTTTCAAGTATCACTATATTTTGCAATATTTCACCAGTTTTTAAAATGTGCCTTTTAGGAAAGCAGTCCTCTATTCAAAATCCATATATTTATAGCTGTTCTGGTATAGAATCATATAATACTAGGACTGGAAGGGACGTCGAGAGGTCATCGATTCCAGTCCCCTGCTCCCATGGCAGGACCAAATACTGTCTAGACCATCCCTGATAGATATTTATCTAACCTACTCTTAAATATCTCCAGAGATGGGGATTCCACAAACTCTCTGGGCAATTTATTCCAGTGTTTAACTACCCTGACAGTTAGGAACTTTTTCCTAATGTCCAACTTAAACCTCCCTTGCTGCAGTTTAAGCCCATTGCTTCTTGTTCTATCCTCACAGGCCAAGATGAACAATTTTTCTCCCTCCTCTTGACACCCTTTTAGATTCCTGAAAACAGCTATTATGTCCCTCCTCAGTCTTCTCTTTTCTAAACTAAACAAACCCAATTCTTTCAGCCTTCCTTCATAGGTCATGTTCTCAAAGACCTTTAATCATTCTTGTTGCTCTTCTCTGGACCCTCTCCAATTTCTCCACATAGCACATAGCACATATTTTACATTACACATTTAGGTAGCATATAGCACATATTTTACATTATTTACATTTATAGCTCATGTTCATATCTAGCAGAAAACGTGGAGTTCTTAATTATCAGTATTAAAGATCCAGATTTGATACCGGATGCCAACAGATGGTAACATTCTTATCACTTCAATGGCGACTTTGTTATACAAATATGTTCTGAAATTAGGTAAATATACTGCTAATAATGCACATTTAAACACAAAAATTAGGAAATGCAAAAGCTATGATTCTCACAGTCACATGGCTATGCTCACATTGTATGTACTGTAAGGCACACATTCATCATTGTCCGGTTATACCGAAAGATGGACAGGAGATATGTGATATGGTTTTAATCAGGCTGCAACTTACATTATTATTAGATGTTTAGGACTTACCTAGTCCATCACTTTCACTTGTGTAATTTTAAATTCATATTCATTCAATATCTATCTGAAGGGCTTTCACCAGTCCCCCTCTTTTTCCAACCAGGTCCCCCAGCCAACCCATTTCTGGGAACTTACCATCTATCCCTCAAATGAGGCTTAATGTGGTCTATAAGAAAGGGAGATTGGCTCCCTGCCATATCACTTATAGGATCCCTGAAACCTTTCTGCACCCTCCATTTTGTTCCTTTTAAAAAAACCCTCTTTTTTAAATCCTTTTTCCAAGGATTTATTAGGTCACTGTATACCTTTCTTATGGAGTATCTGCACTGGACATCCTATTAATTTCCTGAGACTTTTGAAAAAGAAATAATCTTTTACCTGGTCTCCATCCTCTGATTTTTCTCAACTTCCAGTTAATCATTACAGGGTTCCCTAACCTCCAGCCCCATCTAGATCTACAGCAGCATGAAGATTATTTCCCTTTTGTCATTTATGTCTGAAAAACTTTTTAGGCAGTTTGATTTGGGCAGTGGACATAATTAAGAATCAGAGTGTATTATAAGCTAAGAGAATGGGTGAATTTTTCTACTCTCATTTGGTGATCTTCAAGTTTCACATACAGATGGAATCATTAGCATGAGGGATCTTCAGGAGTGCCATCTCCTCCCCAGTTCTAAACCTTCTCCTTATCCACAAGACCATGCAATATTCTTTGCACAATTAAAATAATGAACATATGGTTTTCAATTCAAAGGATGCCATTAATTGCGTATTATTTTTAAAACCTAGTAAGCATGTATAATGTGCTATTTAAACTACAGGAAAGTGATACAACCCAAGGAGCTTTTATGTAAGAAAGACATAAGAATGGCCACACCAGTGGTCCATGTAGTCCAATATTTTATCTTCTGGTAACAGCCAATGCCAGATGCTTCAAAGGGAATGAACAGAACAGGGCAATCATCAGCTGACCTATCCCCTGGCATCCAAATCCAGCCTCTGCATTCAGAGGCATAGGGACACCAAAAACATGGGGTCCATAACTATTTTAGCTGATAACCATAGTATTGGTCTTCACAACATCCCATGGCAATGAGTTCCATAGGCTGACTGTACTTTGTGTGAAGAAGTGCTGCTGCTGCTGCTTCTTCTTCTTCAAGGACTGTCCCAGTGGGTGCTCCACTATAGAGCTACGTCTACATTGGCCCCTTCTCCGGAACAGGCATGTTAATTTCCAACTTCAGAATAGGGAAATCCGCGGGGGATTTAAATCCACTGGAGGCAGTGGGGAGCCCCAGGCAGGTCCCCTGCTTGCTCTGCAGCCCTGCACGCCACTCAGAAACACAGCTCAGGGCAATTTCTCTTTGAGTCTGGAGGGCAGAGGGGAAGATTCATATGCTTCTCCTGCCCCCAGCACAATCCCATTGGCCAATGGCAACTGCCTATTTGAATAACTGGCAGCCACAAAGCAAAAACCCTTTCCTCTCTTGCTCAGTTACTCAAGCACATGACCAAGCAGGCAGAAATGTTTTAAGCTCTGCAAGCCTTTAGCTCTGCAGAAAGGCTGGTTTGGCTTCTGGCTGGTAAGTCTCCTGGCCAGAGCCTGTCTCTGGCACCCCAGTCCCTCCCTTTCCCCACCTTCTGCCCTCCCCCCCACCCCCATACCCCCTCCCAGATCTAGCACCCCAATCTTCTGCCCAAGATCACAATCCCCTCCTACCCCAGGTCACATCACAAAATCCTGCACCCCAGTCCTGTTCCCTAGGTCACAACGGCCTCCTTCACCCAAACTCTTTCTCAGACTCCTTTCTCCCTTCTGTGCCCCAGTCCCTTTCCCCAAGCTCTCTTCAGCACCCAGCCTCCATCCCAGACTCTGCATCCTCTCCATTAATACCATAGAAGAGAATCAGAGGGGTAGCCGTGTTAGTCTGAATCTTCAAAAGCGGTGAGGAGTCCTGTGGCACCTTAGGGTATGTCTACACTACCACCCTAGTTCGAACTAGGGTGGTTAATGTAGGCAACCGAAGTTGCAAATGAAGCCCGAGATTTGAATTTCCTGGGCTTCATTTGCATCTTGCCAACTGCCGCCATTTTTAAATGTCCGCTAGTGGAACGAGGTGTACCGGTAGTTCGGAATAGGAAGCCTAATCCAAACTACCTAGTCCGTGCCGCATGTAGCCGCGGGCACGGAGTCCGAACTAGCGGACATTTAAAAATGGCGGTGCCCGGCAAGATGCAAATGAAGCCCGGAAAATTCAAATCCCGGGCTTCATTTGCAACTTCGGTTGCCTACATTAACCACCCTAGTTCAAACTAGGGTGGTAGTGTAGACATACCCTTATAGACTAACCGAAGTGTTGGAACATAAGCTTTCATGGGCAAAGACCCACTTCATGTAAGAGTGTGGCCCTTCACCACTTTCCAAAATCTTGGAGTGGTCCCCCAACCAAAAATTATTACCCACCCCTGCCTTAAAGGATCAAGTACTGGCACCTCAGCTAATGCTACCATCCAAGCCTCTGACAGTGGCCCGCAAGCCCCTACAACCACTAGATCTGACATCTCGCAGGAGGAGATGAAGTACTTGGATGACTCTCAGGGAGAGGATACATTACCTTCCTCTCACATCTCGTCCTCTTTCCTTCTCCTGCTTAGAGCCAAAATCCACACACCATTAAGGAATATGATCAACTTTAAGTATGTATGTAATCGTTGCTGTTAGGATAGAAAATATTCTTCTTTTGGGTATTACAATCAAAATGAAGGTACTTTTTCTCTGACTCATTTAGTATTATTCTTAGGCACATCAAAATTTATCACCTGTGAATATAACATTGCTGATAAGTGGCAGTTTGTTGTTTGAATTCTAAATTCTTACACAATCATTATCTCTCATGAAGACACTATTACAACCTGCATAGAATTTGCTGTGAAGCTAGACTGTGATAAGAAAATTCAAACTGGGTACAATAAAAAACATGGTTTTCTCATTTTTACCACTCATAATTTATAGATTAGTAACAAAGCATGTGTATTGTCCAAATATGTGGTGTTCTCTAAATATTTTAAAAAAGTGTATGTATTTTATATCCAATTTGTAAAATATTTTCTAGGGCGATACCATAATTCAGCATTTAGGGCGTGATCCAATGCCAACTGAAGCCAATGGAATATTTCTATTGTCTTCAATAAGTATTGGCTAGAGCCCCCATTAATTAGATATTTGGTATCTTTTATTTCCCTTAAAAATTAAGGTGATATTTGTGCTATCAGAGATCATTTTACATATTGCAACTTAAGACAAAAAAAGCTTTTTTTTCTTTTCTGAATTACTGTACCGATCTTTACAGTTTTACTATTCTTATTATTAGGAGAGAATAATTGAGCGCCTGAAGGAGCAGAGAGAACGTGATGATCGAGAAAGACTTGAAGAAATAGAATCTTTTAAAAAGGAAAACAAAGACTTGAAGGAGAAAGTCAATGCTTTACAAGCCGAATTAACAGAGAAGGAGGTCAGTGTTTGAAGTAAAATTAAAAATCTGTATTGTTCTGAATTTCCTAATAGGTATAAAGAAGTTAATTAGAGACATTGTTTAAGCTGTTGGTTTTCAACTATTTTTAGAAACTAACTCCTAAGCCAGTTTATTTTTGAGCATTCCTTACTTTCAAACTCTTGATCACTTTCCATAATATATTTCTTTCTTTTATTTCTGCTTTGTGTATATTCCTTTCTTTTCCTTTGCAAATATTTTACAAGATTTTAATATTCCACTGCTAGTCTTATTTTATTTTTTTAATTTGGACTAATGGGATTAGCAGGAATAAGACCTACCAAAAATAAGTCCAAAAATATTTGATTCAGTCGGACTAAATATTGATAAGGGGTTTAAGTTGGTGAATCCCTGATCCAGTTGACTGCTTTACTAAAGTTTTGCTCTGCCATTGCATGCCACTGCTCTGTGCTCATTTTATTCTTATGAACAATGTGATAATCTTAAATCCTATTCATGTCAAACCACGAGATATTTCCTTTTGGGTGTTCTCCTCTTGCATACTTCTACTATAGGGTCTAAATATCCTTTAAAATAAAGATATTGGGTGAAAACGTTTAGGTAGTTAAAATTGTGATGAATTGATGGGAAACATTTTCTCTATTTAGATCTATCTTCAAGTTATTTTTTTAAAATCCATCACTGTGATGATAATATTTTTTTAAAAAATTCTGTTTCCCTCTTTACAAGGGCTACAAGAAATGATGGTTGTAGGTCACTTGCAGGATTATTTGGATTTATCTCACTAAAAAAATTAACTGCTATTATTGTGGTCTCAGGTATTGGTGAATCCCAATGCCTCTGATTCTGTGCCTGCCTCCTGAGGGCTGTAATACTTTGTTTTAGTTTTAGTTAGGATTGCCAGGTGTCCGGTATTGAACCGGTCAGTCTGGTATTTTCACCTCCTCTCCGGTAAAAAAATTCAGAAAATACCAGACACCTAAAATGTCCGGAACTTTCTGATTTTTTTTTTCCCGGCTAGGAAGCAAAAATCCTGGGCTGTCCGGCTCAGTACAGAGGCAATCTGGCAACCCTAGTGCTTACCAGGTTCTGCAGAGGAGCTGTGCGACCTGGCCCAGGGGGGCAAGATGGTGGGCAGGCACGTGGTTTTTAAAGGGGCCACAGTGGGTGGGTTTTTTTTTTTTTGTTGCTCAACAAGCTTTCCGGGCGTGTTTTTTTTTTCTTGTATTTTTTCTGAAACCATCTGGCAACGCTAGTTTTAGTGTTTGGGTTTACTGTGTGGGTTTTGGGTAGGTGTTGGTGGCCTGTGATATACAAGAGTCAGAATAGATGACAGTTGTCACTTGTGGCGAGGGACGTCCTTAGGGTTTATGTGGCCTCACACAGTACCTGTACTATTAAACTGGTTCCCATATGCTCAATGGCAACATCCCAATGAAATATTGTAAAGCAAATTTTAAACTAAGTTCCAGCAAACTAACACAATAAATTCAAGTAAATCAGAAACTGACAGTACACCTGACCCTTCATAATCAGGGTATCCATGATCTAGGCACACTTGTGGTCCAGAATCTAGCAGGGAGAAAGTGGCTCTGCATGCTGCCACTCCCTCTTCCCTCTAGCTGGGTGAATGATATTACAGCAATGTACTTCTCCTGAGGCTTTTCCCCTCCACTACCATGGTGGTGAAGGGTGGTGCTTGGAAGTGCCATGTGTGCTACCTTGAGTGGAGCACCAGATATGTATGGCTCTTTCACAGGTTAAGTGTTCTGCAAATAAGTGTGACAAGCTTTCACTTTTAAGTTAACTAGATCTTATGTGGAACAAGCCGAGCCACAGAACAGGGATAGTAAGAGGTGGGTGGGTGGACATTAAGACCCAGTCATGCCCCAAATTTTCTGGTGCCCTGTGCAGCTGTGTATTCTGCATCTGGGTAAGGATGCCCCTGCTTCTGGCTTAACCTTTATTATTTTAATTCATTTTAAAGCTTTTAAGTCTATTATTATAAAACAGACAAAATTAACAATAGAAGTTGATAGTAGTATTTTAAGTACAGATGAGTATGTAGAATACTGGTGTGTGCAGCCACCTCCAGACTTCTATCACAGGGCAATAACTTGCAAAATAAAATCCAATAATAAACTAAATATAAAGGAATACACTGGCCAACGTAAGATATAGAGTTGACTATTTTCTAATTATCAATAATTGCATTAAAAATACAGGTGAATCATCCTTTTCACTAATGAAATTTCCCCCAATCCTTCCAGCAGAGAGAACATGATATATACAAGAAAAAGTAATCTTTTCATAGACATTCAGCTTTTTGTTATTCTGCTAAAATTGAGTTAGTAGTATTTTATTCTACTGTAAATGCCCATCCCCATGCCTGCACAAGTGTATTATCAAAACAAACAGTTTTCCCATCTTAGTGGTTTGGATCAATGCATTTTCTAACATCATCTCTTTTTTCTCTTTTTGGATGATTTTTCAGTCTAGTTTAATTGACTTGAAAGAACATGCATCATCATTGGCATCAACAGGGCTGAAAAGAGACTCCAAATTAAAGTCTTTAGAAATAGCCATAGAACAAAAGAAAGAAGAATGTAGTAAGTTGGAAGCACAGCTGAAAAAGGTAAGTGCCTTCTCACAAAATTCTTATTGTGGAATAGACTAAACTCTTCACTTCTCTGGCATATACAAGCAAGAGGTCCATTTAAAAAATATGGCTATCTTCTGCTTTCTGCTGATACTAGCATCAAACAATGTTGACTTTTTCTTATGAAGCATGTATAAAAACTGTGAACCTGAAAAAGTATCTTAAAATTCCTGTCTTAAGGGGTACTTGGAAAAACTGTGACAATACTGGGAGGAAAAAAGTTATGGAAACCAGCCACTACTATATGTCCAAATCTAAGTTACTGTTAAAGATGAATAGAAATGTTTGTAATGTGTTAAAAATGAAAAAAAGATCTCATTCATGATCAACTACTCTTTCTAGTAAAAAATATCTAGGTCTTATACTGTTATCTGAATTTATTTATTTGTTTAATGAATTTAAATGTTGAGGTAGTTAAAAAAGTGTTTAATAGATCACAGTTGGCAGTTCTTTATTTATATCCATCAAGAAGCAGAAACAATCATTTAAAGAAAAATATTTTAGAAGTACAGTACTTATCCAATCATTTTATATAGATTGCTGCATTACAATACTAACTGATCTACAAATTTTGTTGACACATTTTTTTCATATGTTTCTTTGACTTTTTGCTGTGTCATTTGGTACTGTCTGCACTCATCATTTGAATACCAAACTCATGACATACTCAGTGGATTTTAGTATCATGTTTTCCTTACACAAATAGTAAATTAGCCAGTGACACATGTAGATAAAAGTTTAATTTCCAAATGAATTTACATGCTTATGTGTTCTAAAAGAGGTTAATTATCTTAACGAGAATAGTGACATTTTTAGGTGCAGATTATGCTACCCTTCCCCATGTTGATTAGTTAGCCTAATTGATTTCAGTTGATCTCCTGTGGGCCTCCATTTAAGTAAAAAGGGAGTATGTTATTTATGAATAAAATGCAAAGGGTATCTAAATGAAAGTTGAAAACATTGTAGATTTATTATACCATAAATACAACATACATTCCCAGTGGGAACTGGCCTAAGATTTGTAGGAGACTCAGTATTTCCACAATAACATGCAGATTCAATATTCTTGGATTTGTTTAAAGGAATAGAAGCACTGGCTGTTAATGACAATGGAGTGCAAACAGTAATTTTTAATTTACATTTGCTTTAATAAAAGCTTTAATTTCAACTGAACCTAAAAATAATCCTGTGATAAAAGTATCTGGCTCTCCAGAAATTGAAATCTACCTTCAATTACCTATTTTATTCCTTAGGAAACAGATACAGAAGTTAATTTTGAGAGGATTTTAGTATTTTGTTAAAAGGAGATGGGAAGGAAAATCTATATTTCTTCATTCTTATAAACAATATACAAATCTGCATGTTCTATATGGATGCTTACTGTGTCACTGGACACTCAACAACTCAGAGAGATGTGGCATTTATATTGGGCATAATTTGAAAAACTCCATTCTTTTAAAAATTATTTACAACTTGTATATCATTTATTTTTCTTAAAAATAAATCAGGGTGGAGACACTTTTAAATTAGTAACACTTTTAAATTAGTATAACTTAGCATTAATTGTGAGTTTTCAGTTGTATCAAGTTTTATTCCTCAATATCAACTTAACCCACCATATATTTGCAACAGTGAGTAATTGTAAGAAGTCATAGTCATAAGTGCTATGCCCAGAAGAAGTGTTTATGGAATACAAGGCTCAACAAAACGAGTGATGAGGAACAGTTTTGCCTTGGGATTTTGTTCCTCTCCTATTTCAATGTATTTTTAAATTTGTCCTTTACTTGAGGGAGAGAAGGGAATATATTTGTTTTTCCAAGATGTTTGTCCAGGGACTGACTATAACTATTTCTGAGTTTTATATAAAATATCTGCATTTCTGGGGGAGCAAATATGAAGACTGTGAAAGAATACATTCAAAAGTAAAACAAAAATCCTTAGGCGGATTCTTAAAATATTTGATTACAACAAACTGAACTGCAGTCCCATTATTAATTGAAATAGCATATGCATTTAAAAACAATAAATAGGAGACCATTCAAGTAGAATAATTGCTCCTGTGTTCATACTGTATTTTTCTCAACAGCAAAATTATTTAAAATCATGAGTGTGCTTATTAAGCCTTTTGTGGCAAGGATTATTATTTGGAATTGATGAGAACAAAGTTAGCAGAAAGCTCAGAACATTTTTGTGCCAAAATTGTACAGGCTTATTTTTAAACTTATTTTCCTTGCTAATTATGATGGACTATGAGGAAGTACCTCATAGGTAGTTACGTAGTTTTCCTGAATCTTATTATACACGTTAGAATTTCTTTCTTTTATTGTTTATCATGGAATTTAAATTTCCATGCTGTTGTTAAAATATTGTTTGCCAAACTGTACTGTTCAAAAGTCACATTGAATAAAAAATTCAGGCTTGTGTTAATACAAAGAGAAACTATAAATTTAGTGATAAAGCTTAATTAATCTTTTACTATTACTGTCTTTGAAATGTTTGTGATAAATTGCAGCCTTGGCTAAAAGTGCTTTTAGTGATTCATTGCTTGAGACCAGCACTTAATGTATCATCAAAAGTGGACACCTTTCTTTATTTCATGGGTTATTTAACTTGAGAAAGGGAAAGTAACACAAACCTTAAATTTTTTACTCCAGCTATTCTTTTTTAGGAGCCAAAGTCAACATTTATGTTTCCCCAGTGCCTCTCGCTTTCCCAAGGAATGTTTAGAAACTTAAATTTCTGCTTTTTTATGACAAGTTCTTCTGTGCAAATGCACTGGATTTGTTGAGCTAATGCTGTTTTCCTGGATCTTTCCTTCTTTTCCTGTCTATGCTTCACTCCTTCCCAACTTTGCAATGTAGCAAGCTGAACAGTTGTTCAATCAGATGTACAATCCAGTAAGTCCTTTCTGAAAGTGCCCGCTGTAACATATGAAAGCATGAGGATCCATTGACCTGACACTGTGTTGTGTTCTTCCTCTGTGGAGCTTTGCAAAAAAAATTTTGGTGAACACCTGTTTTAGTTTTGTCACAATAAATGAGCTTTGTGGACCTCAAGGCCATTTCTTCTGAATATAATATATACAAATTGGGAACTAGATAAATACAGCATCTTCCCATTTTCAAATGTATTTGCCTTCAGGTCCTCAACTTCCCCATTATATATATTTTTAAAAAGCATGCAGAAGATACTTTCTTGTTTTATTTTATTTTATTTTAGCACTATGCTCGTGGAATACTTTATCGGATCCTTCAAATTCAATATAATACATGGTGGTTTATTTATAATATCTCTACTGATTATATCATTAATAATACCTAGTAAATGTCCATTCAGCATATTTTTTTAAAGTTGTGATATGATCACAGTAGTTCAGAAGGTAAACAAGATCAGTTTTACTAGTAAAATAATGTGTATGTTCAGTATTTATACATTTTAAAAAAAACATATTCTGAACAAGAAAAGGGTAAAAATACAGAATGATGAAAATAAATAACAATGTTGTTCTATTATTTAAAGAAGAGAATGTAAGAATACTTTTGGTTTGTTTGGACTTCGCCTTCTTTATTATAGTTTCGTACGCAATTTTCTTTTGTCTCTATTGTATTCATTTTTCAATTTTGAGGAAGAACAAAAGCACATTCTTATCTGTAGAAGATTTTCTGGTTGCTACAAAGTAATGCTGAAAGTATGCCATGAGCATCACAAGGCAGAAATAATGTTGTAACTGAATTGTAATAACATAACAATTTATGACTCACATATATAATCACCATGTAATTCCAATCAGAAGGTGTGAGAGGGTTTTGTCATTAACGCCAATGGGCTAGGATTTTATCCCTATGGTCTGTTATTCTGTTGTTAATACTGAGAATTTCCACTGATGGAAAATTTATACGTATTGATAGGTGACTATATCCCATAGAATTCACCATATTTACTCCTTGAAAATTATATAATTACATTTGGAACTCAGCCATAAATTGTTTATAAAGAGCATAAAACATAATTATATACCCACTTTTTCATCCAGCATACTGTGGGGGTCAAATAATTTGTACTCTGGTACAATAGAATTATTTCTTTATATTGGCTTGGGTCATCCATGTGATGATTTTGTAAGTAGACCACATAGTTCCATGCATATCACCTGCGCTCTTATAGTGTACACCTTTTTTTTTATTGCCCTCTCATTGGTTATCTTTTCTCTTGCTCCATGTAGAACACTCCCTTATTAATTAAGTTTTAATCACACAGTTCTAGTGATTGCTATTTATTGACCATTAACTTTTTTATATAGTATCCCAAATCTATCAATTTTACTTTTTGCAAATTTTTTTCTTAGTACCATCTTTCAGCAGTTCAAATCCACTGGATGGAAAATGTTTTACATGTAGCAAATGGTTACTTCTTGTCTTCAATGCACATTTTTCTAGTTATGTTTACTCTGTGTTCTACTTTTGACAATATGAGAATAATATTTTTTCAAACTACTCTAAAAACTCGTTCTTTAGACTGCATAATTGCCATTAACAGAAATTGAGCCAAATATGTGTTTCCAAATCCACCACAAATGATATTAGAAAAGATGGATGGGAAAATTCAATCCCGTTGAACTCCAATCTTCACTTTAATCCTTTCTGAATTTAATAATCAATTTTTACGTACGCCCTTGTTTCTTCATACAGCCAGTTCCTTATTTGGTAGAATGATAAACCATTAATTCACACAGTACTATCAACTGTAGCACACACTTCTCACTGAAGCTATTTTTAAAAATTCACAGAACAAATAGATGAATCTGTTTCATACTTGCAGGCTTTTTGGTAACAAAGCAGAAAAATATAAAATAGGCACAAATCCTCTTCACCTTGTTTATGAGAATATTCAAAATGAAGTTAGTGGGACTACTTATCTGAATATTATGAACAGAATCTGGGCCTTGTTTATTTTTGCATGTAGAGGTGAATACTGTTTAAATTGTGTAATCATGTCTTGTGCTAATAAATATTGGTTAGAAAACAGTCACATGATTTTTTTTTTCTGAAATAAGGTATTGTGATAGTTTTTTGTCCTTTGAGCCCCTTCTGAATATTGACAATTTGATTCTGCAAATACTGTGCAGGAGCAATGGCAGATCAAAACCCAAAGCACCTGTAATATCAGTTAGCTTCAAAAGAAACTGAAATTTAAAGAGATTTCAAAATTTAAGGGGACAATACATTATTTAATTTATTATTGAACCAGGTAAAATTTGAAGGATCTTAGAAAGTATTTTCTTGCATGTACATTTATGCTGTTTCATTTAATTATTTTGATCAAGCACTAATTTTATCTTTTTTGCCAATTTGAATTAATATATACTAATCCAATGCATACATCTGATACAGAAAAATGAATGCAGGATTGTGGGCACAATATATAATAAATAAAATGTATGTCTTTAGCCCACTTTAATATTTCTGTACACAATTTGATATTTCGCATAGAAAAAAATACTTTGCCTCCACTTGTGAAATGCAAAATAAAAAACATGGTTGATAATATGAAATGCTTTTTAGAATCAGAAGTTCAATCAGAGGTCTATTAATCCCTAATGTGAGAGTATTGAATAACTTAATTGTGAATGTAGGGCATGTGTATAAGTACTACACTCTGCTGCTAAAGTACATCTGTTGAAGATGCTCTGTGCCAACAGGAAAAAGGTCTTTCGGAATAAAACACAACCTTCATGAGTGGCATAACTTATGTTGGCAGGAGACTTTCTCCCACCAACATAGCCTGTGCACGAGTGCTCTATGGCTGTGTAATTTAAATCAGGCGGGGTGGAATACATTTTGCAACATAGGCTGTACTGGAGATATAGTCTCGCTTTCTATTTACAGCCAGTCTTTTGCAAATTTTTAACAACAGCTGAAAACTTTTCCTTTTCAAAGATGTTTTATGATATTGCTCCATCAGCCCTCCATATATTTAGAACCTTTCCTATTTTTCTTCTATTTAGTAGTGTACATGGGTTTGATCCTGCATCCCTCTGCAAAACAGTCCCTATTTTTCCATTTAGTCCAAAACTACTGAATGAGTAATAATCTATGCAAGTAGGGAGAAACTAACAATGGTTTGTAATACTGGCCCCATATTTATTTTCATAATGTTTTTAGATTCGAATGTTGTTGTTTTTTATCCTGGTATATGCATTGTGCTTTTATATTACTTTTATTGTTATTCATCTCCATTGGTGCAAGTAAACTTTACCAATATGGGAGGAGGAAGGCACACTAACTAAATTAGGGTCATATGACTTCCCCACACAACCCCCTATGTTCCTCCTCCTCACCCCCAGCTCAGGACCTCCGTACTGTTCTCCTCCTCAACCCAGCATACCTGGGAGGAGGGGGATCTGGGGGCAGTACAGCAGCTGATAGTTCTGCTCCTTTCCCTGCTGCCCCTCCCAGCAGGAAGAGGAGCAGAACTCCCAGTCCCACCTCTAATCCCTTCACAGAGCTACAGTATCTGTGTACAGAGCTGTGGGGACAGGACTGACAATCTGTTCTTTTCCTGCTGGGAGGGGCAGTGAATAGGGGAAGGAGTAGAATGATGGCAGCTCCTTTTGCTGCCATAGAGCACCCAGTCCTGCTCCCCCGGCCCTAGCCCTGTTCACAGAGATGTGGCAGCTGGTGGAGAATCTGGGGATGGCTGGCAGTTCTGAATTTGCTGGCGTTTTATCAGTATTGTCTCCTGCTTGGAGTGGTGTGCAGATGCATTGTATTAAGGGGAGATGTCCAGAAGGAATTATGCCCATGGAAGGTGGAATTCCTCAGAGAATTTGCCAGTATGTCAGAGATTATACCTTTAACTATATCTTTTCATGGATGCAGTATATTTCTGTATGTATGCCTAGCTAGCTCTGGTGTCTCTACTGTGTGGAACCCTGGCTCTGCTTTCACCCTTCCCATTTTAAGTGTCTTGAATACTGGGTGTTTTGGAAATAGTTATTTTGCTGGGGGAGTAATTGGACTTTTATTGTGCCTAGCTACTGAACAGGAGTGCAAAGCAGAATAGGGAATCTCCTGCTGCCATTTACTTCCCTTGTGCTTCCCGGAATCATTGTAAATATTTATCGTTAACATGAAAAGTGATCAAATTGATTTAATTTCACATAACTAATTATAACACTAAAAATTGAAAACATTACTCTTTTATCTTCAGTATCCAGTAAATCTATATAATGTCCATTACAGTTACAATAATAAAAAGCAGTATCAAACCTATTTAAAACTGGCATGCAGACTGCCTCAATTAAAGCATCCATTGTTATTAAATAGACTATTTCTGTAAAGCACTTTGATCAAGTGGATATAGTGTGGGACCGGGCGTCAGGGAATTTAGCATCTCTTCCCAGCTCTCCCATTAAATGCTTGATTGTATCTACTCTGCAGTGTGCCCTTGGATAGACAAATATGCACTAGGTGGCTGTGTCTACACTGGCCACTTATTCCGGAAAATCAGCCGCTTTTCCGGAATAACTTGCCAGCTGTCTACACTGGCCCCTTGAATTTCCGGAAAAGCACTGACGATCTACTGTAAAATCATCAGTGCTTTTCCGGAAAAACTATGCTGCTCCCATTCGGGCAAAAGTCCTTTTCAGGAAAACTGTTCTGGAAAAGGGCCAGTGTAGACATCACAGATTTCTTTTCCGCAAAAAAGCCCCGATCGCGAAAATGACGATAGGGGCTTTTTTGCGGAAAAGCGCGTCTACATTGGCACGGACGCTTTTCTGGAAAAAGTACTTTTCTGGAAAAGCATCCTGCCAATGTAGACGCGCTTTTCCGGAAATACTTATAACGGAAAAACTTTTCTGTTTTAAGCATTTCCGGAAAAGGGTGCCAGTGTAGACGTAGCCGGTGTGTTTGGGTTAGCATGCTAAATATAAGGGTGTGTCTAAACTACATGGCTCGAGGAGGTTTCATGAGGCTTACAGAAGCGGTTGACAAAGGCTTCCCTTGTCGATCACGCCGCATCTAGACTGCCGCACTGTGCTGGATCAGCTGTGATTGTCGGCACAGCGCAGCAGCCATTTTTATTTTAATGAAGTGGGGATTATTTCAATACCCTCTTCATTGACTATGTCGAATAAACTACTTTACATGGCTCTGTCAACGGAGCCATATAGTCTAGACACACCCTAACAGTGCAGCAGCCTGAGTACAATCCTTCCTAACCTGTTATATACGCAGCTGACTACATCCAGCAGGACTATAGGGATTTTATCCCATTTATTTCTTTTGGCCACAGGGGAACAATGTGGCACAGTAAACTTCCATAAGTCCATACTCTATCTTCTTCCTCTTCTGGGTCTAAACCAGCATGAAGGAAGGAGAAGAAGGTGACTGTAGCTGGGACTTTTCAGGTTGGAAAGAAATGACAGAAGGGTGGGGAGATATGTTAGATGTCTAGAAAATCATGAACATGTGGAAAAATAGAACAAGGAAATGTTATGTATTCCTTCACTGACATAACACAAGAAGCTGACCCAATTAAATTTATAGGCAACAGATTTAAAAAAAACAAAATAAATTATTTTTTCACAAACAACTTGTGGAACGCTTTGCCAGGAGATGGTGGAAAACTCCAAACTATAACAGGCTTCTAATAAGAACAAAATAAGTTCAATGAGATTAGGTCCATCAATAGCTACTACTCAGCATGGGCAGGGATGGTATCCCTAGTTTCTGTTTGCCAGAAGCTGGGAATGGGCTAGAGGAGATAGATCATGATGATTGCCTCTTATATTCTTTCTGAAGCACCTGGCATAGGCCACTGTTGGAAGACAGATACTGGGCTAGAAGGACCTTTGGTCTGACCCAGTATGGCCATTCTGATGTTCTTGTATAAAGCTGAAATGTATCTGCCCTCTGCTGTAACCCACTAGACCCCACTCCCCTTCCTGAACTGAGATAGAGCCAAGGAGTCCTTACAGGGTCTGTCTCTCTCCACAGAGTTAGTAACAAAATAAGAATATACAGGCAGTCCCTGGGTTATGTACAAGATAGGGACTGTAGGTTTGTTCTCAAGTTGAATTTGTATGTAAGTCGGAACTGGTACATATTGTAGGGGAAACTCTAGCCAAACATTTCTCCAGAGCTCAGTTTTATACTCCCACACCTCACTTCCCTCAGTCCTTTATTCTCAAGCTGAGGTGTCTGCTGAGAAAAGCCGCTCCGTGTCTCCCTGGTCTGCTGGGGGGGGGGGGGGGGCGCTAGCTTCGTGTGTCCCTGGTCTGCTGGGGGGAAGCAGCTAGTGCGGGGTTGCCTCACCCTGTTTGTAAGTAGGGATCCGATGTAAGTCGGATCCATGTAACCCGGGGACTGCCTGTATATTAAAATTTTAAGGCTAACCAGTGTCCCTTAAGTGACTTGCCACAAGATGTCAGAATATGTTAGTGTTAGAGCTGAGTGAGTCTAATATTTATTTAATTTTCTTTCTTTTATATAGAAATTAGATACAGTGCTCTGTCTGCTATCTGCTAAATTGTCTTCCAAAAAAAAAAGTAGAGTTTTGCAGTACCATGGTAGCTCCTGGATAGAGATGATGTGAGTGAGGGGGAGGGAGGATGGGTTTGTTCCCTCCCCTCATTTAGTGCTTGGCAAGTACTGATCATGCTCAGTAACACTGCTGAAGCCTCTGTCCTCAGTCTGCCCTCCCTCGCTTTTACTCTCCCCCTCATCATGGCATGCACAGGTCACCCCCTCCACCCCCACAATCTGAAATGCTGCCCGTGTTGCCAGCTAATGGGAAAGGGATGTGTATGGGCCAGTTGTGCAAAGTGCTGTACACTCTGAGTTCCTGTTGAAGGCAATGGGAATTGAGAGTGCCTAGCACCTTTATAGGGTTGCCAGATGGTTTCAACAAAAATACCCGACACACTTGACATTACATCACAGTCTACATTACATCTTATTTAGAAAATAATGGACATTTATATTTTCTCATTTATATTTTTCAATTTGTTTCCTGAACAGAAAGCTCAAATACTGGACTGTCCAGTTCAAAACCGGACACCTGACAACCCTACACCTTAAAGAAGGTCCTCAGTTGTTTGCAGAACTGGATTTTGAGCCCTTATTGTACTTACTTAAAAATATGATGCTGGCAAAAAATAGTTCAACTATGGCTAATCCTCCAGCATGATACTGGGATTTCTAAAAGATAAAAAATAATTTATTGGTAGATGTGCCACCAAAGTAAAATAGATGAAGTACTGCAAAATACTCCCTAAGTACCAGACTCTGCAATAAGTTCACATAGGGAGACCCTGGCATCTGTGTGAAGTCTGTAACCTAAGAACGTAATATTGTCTTGAGGGGCGGGCTGGAGTTACAAGAAAAATAAATGTAGTGAACTTCTCATGTCACTTCCTTATTTTTTTCATAGTTAGATCACCTGTGTGAATAGAAATCCCAAAGTAGAAAAATAGAATTTAAAAACAAAATTATTTTCCTTATTATCCTCATGCTTAAATTATGTTACATGCAGAAAAAAAACCCCTTTTTATTCTTCAGTAATTTAATTTATGTTGCCTCCTTTAAACACAAGACTTTTAAAAATAGATATTGAAAAATTTCTACTAAATCATTGCAAAGACTGTCAACCTTCTAACCGTAATAGTTGGGTACTGATTTTGTTCAAAACATGCATGTTTCATTTTGACCAGCAGTTGTTTCATTGCTTGCTTGCCTTGTTTATTCCCTGAAATTAAAAATAATAAAAAAAAATCATCTGCTCTGCTTAGGATAGCAGAGTACCTAGTGTTCTAAATATCATTAATTTTTGTAACATTTTTGTACATTTAAAAATGTTCTCTGAATTTTCTGTTTAATGTGCACTGTGGTAAACTACTTGTTTTTTCCCTGCCTGCTCTTTGAAGATGCCAATTAGGAATAATGGGAAACAAGGGGTAGGCTAAGCATTGCAGTGCATTGTTGTTTCCATCTGTCTGTGATTAGTTCAGTCAACAGTTTAAAACACTTTATGCCCAATCCTGCTCCCACTGAAGTTATTGGGGCTTTCCATTGGTTTTTGTGGGAGTAGGACAGGACTTTGCACTGTTGTTGTTGTTGTTGTTTTCACTATGTTCTTTCTTGTCTGTGAAACTGCCACCCACCCATGCATGTGTTTGCCAGGTATATTTATTTGTGCCGTTTTCACCAATAGGCTTGTTCCTCTGATGTTTCAGGATAAGTATTAAGCGAAGAAAAAAAAAGAATTTGGGTTAAAACTGTCAGTGGAAAGCGTTCTTCTAGTTTTACCTTTAAAAACAGCTGTTATTCCTTCCTTTAAATTGTTAGTATCCAATGATATTTTAATAGATATCCAGTGGTTTAATTTGTGGATTAGGGTACTGCATGTGGTATTTTAAAAAATGTCTGCTTCTTTGACAGTATTAAACTTTATAATGAAACAAAAGTTAAGATTTTCATGGTTATTTTCATATATGAAAAACCCTAAACTGGGGTAAATATTTTTTATGATGAAGTTTTGGGAAATGAGACCTTGGGTGATTATACGAAGTATGCAGACATATTTTCTTTTTTTCTGTGCCTTTATGGGAAAATGTTGCCAACTGACAGAAATACCCATAATCCTTTTTTCATGCAAACTTGCCCTCTCAGGCTGCAGAAATAGTGCTGCCAGACTATCTAAACGATTGTTGTTTTCTTAACACTGAAGGCTCATGAAGCTGAAGAAGAAGCACGGCTGAACCCAGAATTTGCAGACAGACTGAAACAACTTGATAAAGAGGCATCTTACTACAGAGAAGAATGTGGCAAAGCTCAGGCTGAGGTTGACAGACTTCTAGAAATCCTCAAGGAAGTGGAGAATGAAAAGAATGACAAAGATAAGAAAATTGCTGAGCTAGAAAGGTAATTTTTCATTATTTGCTTTATATTGGATGGCCTATTTATTTAATTATCTTGATTGTAGAAGGACATAAAACAATAATAAAGTCAATTAATTTTACTTCACGAGTTGTACCTAAACACAAGTAGATGTGCTCATTGGTTTCTGAGTTACAGATTAACACGACTACTCCTGGGAGACTAAAAAACAAGTGTTATGTGCAGCCTTTGAAACAAATTTGGAATCTCCTTCTTTTAGCGAGAAAATAGTTGCTATTCTACATATCAAAGAGTGTATATAGAGAAACTCCTAATAAATTTTGCAGACCTCTTTCTGCAAAACCTGGATAAGATATTGCATTATGGGAGCAATTTTGCTTTTTTACTCATAGTATATTAGTATTAGGTGAACCCAAATAAGAACCATTCCAGACATTTCTTTTTTCCTAGAACAGCATTATACCTCTGAGAAATTCTGGAAAGATGTTATCAATCTTCTTAGTGTGTCCCTTAATTCTGGCTTTGGGTATTTTTCTGGGGTAATTCACATTCTTCTGTTGGCAAGTTTTTTATGAAGGAGGTCCTTCCTCTTTCTTCATACAGGTAGGGAATTGTTCAGACTTTCTCTATTAGAGGGAGAGAGGTAGTGGGAACCTTTAATCTCGTTCCTTTCAAATTGAACAGTACTGTAAAGCTTCTGCAGATTGTGCTCTAGGTTGCACTATATATGGGAAGTTCTTGAATCTGTGAGATTTGCCATTCCTGTCTTATGGGAAAGAATGAAGGAAGCAATCTTGTGTGTTTTGGTGTGTCAGAAGTGTGTATTGTAGAGACTGTATTATAAAAGGAGCACATAAATGAAAAAGGAGATCAGTGGGTCCTAGTGTACCTGTTGCTAGATCCTGTCCTTCTATCAGCTGTGTCTACTAGGCAAAGTGGTGCACTGTCCCAGTAGATAAATCCTGCTACAAGACATCCATTTGTAATTTCAATTATTATTGAAGGAGGGAAACAAAGTCCTGTTTCTTATGGAAGTAGGCTTGTGTGGATTAGAAGCAAAACATCCATACATGGTTTGAAACTTCAGATGAAGTTTATTTGGTTATTTATCAGCTTTTTATAATATTTTCTTTATTTACTTTTTGTAGGCATTTAACAAAGATTTGGTTAGCAATAATTACTTGTGGATGTCGTAGAATAAAATACTTAATAAAATCATGAAAATTACATTCTATTCAATATATTATGTTATTATACAATATATTTACTATTATTACTATACTAGAGGACTTACCCAGCATTGCTTGGGTCTTTGTGGGGGCTCAGGGCAGGGTTTGTGGGGTGCAGGAGTCAAGGCAGGGGGTTGAGAAAGTGTAAGGGGCTCCCTGGGGCCAGCTGAGGAGCAGAAGCTGTGCTGCCCGGCTGGTGGCTGCTCCACAGAACTACCTAGGGCAGCAGGGACTATGCTTGCTAGCTCTCTGTCATCATTGTGGTGTAAAACTGTCCTTGCTATGAGAGTCCTCCCTTTCCGTTTGAGAAATAATCACATTCCATGCACATCCCATTGTCCTAGCACAACCAAATCCTTACCTTCCTTTAAGTTATAAGAGGAAACTGTGTATCAGATTTGATGATCCTGGCTTTTACCATTTAGGACGAATTCTTGAACAAACAGACAGATGGACAGACTTGCTCACTCGCTCACAAACTCTTTCAAATATATGGTAAATTATAGTTGTATGAGTAATATGCATGTGACCCAGAGATGTAGGATGGGTGAATTTTGTAGATAAATACGTAATAAATAATATACACAATGCCCACAAGTTATTGTGAAATTTTTAATATGAATACGGAAAATTCTCCTTGCCCAGAACAGAAATTATAAGTAATGGTGGGCTTTAACATCAAAGCTTGACATCTACTGATGGGCCTGCCAATGGAGGGAACAAAGGGGCCAATTGCCCCAGAGCCCAGCAATTCAAGGGAGCTTGGAGCTCCCAGCCACCGCTACTGCGGGAATGGTGGTTGTTGGAGGCCTGGGCCCCTTTCAGTTGTTGCCAGAGTGCCCCCCTATGGCTCCATGTGGTTCTGAAGGTTGAGGAGAGGGGCCTGTGCTGTGGTCTGGGTGGTGCTAAAGGCTAACTGCCCAAGGTCCTGCCCCTTCCACCTGAGGCCCTGCCCCTATAGGAGTGCGGAGCCCTTCCACACACACCTTGCCCCGGAGCCTGGTGTCTGTTGACCTTGCTGACTATTGAAGTTACTGATGCCAAGCACCTCATAAGATTGGGCCCCAGTTTTCCTTTTTAAACATTCTTGTTTGGGGAAATATGGCAAAATAAAGATTTCAGTTCCCACACTGTAAATAACATGTTTAATAGTTTACTTCCAGCACAGTTAATACAAAGGATATAATCAAATACAGATACATAAATATAAGAATAGATCATATGGTTTTCTTCATGCATGTGAATGTGATTTCCTGCATGATATTTTTATTTGATTTATGTGATCCTTAGTCTGAACATAAAGCAGTTTCAGTCATTTACTGACAATTGATTATAGAGCAAATGGCCAGGATTCTAATGAGTAGTGGGTATTTTACATGTTGTGCTTCAATTTCACCCAAAGAAATGAATCACGTGTATATTGAGTATGACAAAATTGGTGACGTATTTTTGAGAAACGTAGGATACAGTATATTTGAATAGCTGAGTCTGACCAGATGGTGGCTGTAAAGTGTTATAATTTGTAGCTCTCCTGTCCCCCCCCCCTTCCCATCGCCGACTTACATTGAGATCTGCTCGAATGGGCCTTTGCCCTTGTATGGAATCCAGTTAATTTCAATGAGACTATACACATGATTGACATTAAGCATGTTTAAGTACTTTCATGCATCAGAGCACGTATACTCAGTACTTCTTAGGCTTGCACCCTAGATATACAATGTGCATAAGAAAGTGTTCCACAAAGAACTAGCTTAACTATTCCAAAATAAAACACAAACTTTGATTTAGAAATTGATTGTCTATTCATCTATTTAGTATGTAAGGGCTAGATTATCACTGGTTTTAGACTTCAACGTGGGAGACTAGGGGATATAAGACTATTCACCTTTCTGAATGTGCAGGGCACTAAGGAAGAGGTGGCCAGCATACCAGGGAAAGTGTCCTGCTCTAGGTATAGAGAGAATGAAAGGCTTGATTTTCAGTGTTGTTGTTCAGTCTTCTTGTTTGTTTGTTTGTTTGTTTGTTTGTTTGGAGAGTTTTCCGGTTTTTGTTTTTGTTTTGCAAATCAAGTTCCTTTAAGATGGCCCAAAGTTAATTCCCAGTGTCTTTTGAAAATTTTGTCCCTAACATCTAAATCTGTGACCAGTGAAGGAATTGTGACCCCAACATTCCCTTTTGCTCCAAGGGAAGTAAACTACTGCAGTTTTTTTTACAAAGTGTTGCATGCTTTTCCCCTTATGATGGCTAAGCTCTATTGGCTCCTTATCTGAGGGCAGGCAGAGCCAAGGCTTTACTTACTTACCATCCATCCTTGTTAGGGTAAAATGTGTTGCAGACCTTCAAGCTTGCTTTCTCCATCTTGTTCCCTTATTCTCTTAGGCAGTTTCCAAAAGACAAGTTACAATATTATCTTATGTGAAAGCACATTTTACTACAATGCTGCATGTATTAAAACAATGATGACTTTTATAGAAACTTATCTCCACATGGTTTGTTTGCCTCCCCTTACTTTGATATCTTGAAGATTTTACTGCATTTTATAGTTCATAAAATATATTATAGGTATGGTGACCATATTTTCTGAACCAAAAATAGGTGCACATTAGCTATGCCCTGACATCCATTGGCCACGCCCCTTGCCACAAGAAGACCCACCTCTGGAGCTAGTATTCCTGGAGTCATGATGGACAAATGACCAGAAGTAAAAGGTGTCATGTGACCCCTCTAAGAACTCCTCCCACTGTCCTTCTACCAATAGGGCTGGGTTTGGCCCCCGCAAGACCCTCCCATGCAACTATCCTGGAATTGCATTAACTCAATTTGCATTGCATTAACTTGGGGGGAAAGGCTGGGGGAAGTATTCCCTCTAAGATTTTCCTCCCATGAGGAGAGTGTTCAGATGTGTGCCACTGTGGCACCCAAGATATTAATAAATATCTTATAAACCTCTCCCTTTTTCCTCTGCTGCCATGTATCCTACTCTCTCCCTGCCCCAGCTGTTCTCATGGTACCTATTCCCCCCACTCCTCACCCTCTGCTGTCCTGGCTCCTGCCCTTCTCACTCCCCTCAGCCCTCTGGTGATTTGCCCTCCTGCCATGCACCAACCCTTTTCTTCCCCCTCTTGCCCAACTCTGATAATCTGTAGCTACCTCTGCCCATCCCCTCTTTTAACACCTCTCTCTATCCACCTGCCCTGCCTCTCTCCTCTGTCCTCTGGTGCCCATCCCTCCCCTCCACATGTCTGATTTTCTGTTTCACTCCCACAATCCCCTGGCACCTGCATCTTCCCTTACCTCTGCAACTTCCTTGTGCCTTCCCCTTACTTCCTTCACTGCCCCTGCCTTCCTTGCTCTCTTTCTCCCTGGTGCCCACCCTCTTACCACCCTCTGTCCCAGTTCTTCTCACGACCCTCTGTGCCCTCACACATGGCATGCTGCCATCCTCCTGCCCACCCCTCCTTTCAACCCCTCTTCTCTCAGCACCCACTCCTCCCTTCTCCTCTTCCTTTCTCTTGCCCCCATTGTCCCTCCCCTCTCCCAGCATCACCCTGTCCCCTCCCTTTTCCCAACCCCACTAACACCTTCTTTCCCATCCCCCCTCCTGCCCTTTTCCTCATTGTCTTCTCTTGGCCCCCTGGCATTTGTTTCTCCTCCACCCTGTCCCTTGGTGCCTGCCCCATTCTTCTCCTACCCTGCTCCCTTCCCTCAGTACAAGCCCCTTCCTCTCCTCACCTCCACTTCCTGCTTAGTTCTCCCACTGCCCTTTTCCTCACCTTCTGCCTTCCACATGGAAAG